AGATGAAGAAAGTGGTACTGGTTCATGGTGTGCCAGAATTGAAGCATGACGATAGCAGTGAACGACAGAAGCACGACATCGAAGAATGGAGGTACATCACAGAGCTCTACGACATGCAAAATGTCGTGGCTTTTGACGTCACCCGTCTAGTTGCCTCCACAAACTACCAAGGCAGCGGGCCGAAAATTTTGAAAGTTACCTTGGCTGCGCCCGAAATGGTACCAGTGGCGATCCAAGCGTGGTATGATAACAGGAAAATTGGGCCACCAGAAGTACGGTTAAGACCATTCCTACAATTAGTACAGACCTCAGATATAGATGAGCCAGTACCGGTTGTACCTATCTCAGATCAGTCAACCGTACAAACACCCGTTTCAAAAACTTCAGCACGCCAGCACTATTTGTGCCGGTTTATTCACAGCGAACCGAGCTCCTAATACATCAACAAATACAATGCTGCCACACCAACACTCAAGGGTTGTATTCTAAGCTCCCGGAACTGCACCATCGACATGAAACAACAACTTGGGACATCATAGCAGTCACTGAAACTCGGCTTTCAAACGACATATTTGACTCAGAGATCTCAGTCATTCGGAATGATCGTCCATCTCGCGGTGGCGGTGTTGCTCACTACTATCGAGATTACTTGAAATGTGAGGCCCTTACCGAAAATTCCCTTGTTATTCCCGACGCACTATTTTGCCGACTGCACCTAGCAGGTCGAGATGTTGGTTCACAGAAGACGAGTGATGCTTGCCTCTTAGCAGTTATCTATAGGCCTCCGAACTCGTCAGCAGACAGCGATAACATTCTGTTAAACGCTCTCCGCTATGCTGTTTCACAAAAGTACTCTCAGTATCTTATAATGGGCGACTTTAATGTTCCTTCAATAGCATCAATGTCCCCTAATGGGCCATCATTTAAATCGAAGCTCCTTGAATTCATGGATATGGCAGTTTTGTATAACCATGTGCATCGACCAACCAGACACCGCGGTTCAAACAAGCCATCACTCCTGGACTTAATCCTGACTAATGAAGAGTTGATGGTTGAGTCAGTAGCATACGATCCTCCACTGGGCCGTAGCGACCATTCAGTCCTAACGTTTGGTTATGTGTGTTATGCCAGTATTGTTGATAAAGAAAGAGGGACTCAACGAACTATTACGGACTATTTTAAGCTGCACAACTTAGCAGCAACCGTTGACTGGGACCTACAGACGCACAGTTCAGCGAATGACGCATGGAATGAATTGAAAGATAAAATTAACTGGGTCATACAATCAGCATCGAAGGTTGTACCATTACGAGCATCGCGCCGGACCAATACGTGGATCCGAAGCAGAACACGTAAATGGATCAACAGAAGAGATGAAATCTGGAGGCAACATTCGCTAAGCCCATGTGATATCACATGGCAGAATTACAAAGCAATCAGAAACTACTGCACGTCGCTCATTAGAGTCGATAAGTACGAATGGCAGGAGACCATGGTGCTGAAATTTACGAGTAACACCAAACTACTATACAGATATGTGAATGGCAAAAGAAAGGTTAAGCCCGGAATACCACCACTCAAGACGGCCAGTGGCCTAACAACTACTGCTGTGGATGCCGCGAACGCTCTACTCCTGCAGTTTGGCTCGGTAGCTACAAATACCATGGAACCTTCGCCCTATCAACTTCCGACAAATGTGGTTGGCTTATTCAGCGTCACCTTTACTACTGCAGCGGTTGCAAGCAAATTACAATCTCTCCGGGAGTACAATGCCCCTGGAATCGACATGATTTACCCAAAAGTACTGAAAACTCTGTCTCCCACCATAGCAGCACCAGTTGCAAACTTTTTCCAGGGTTTGCTTAACTCCCACACACTCCCATCTGAGTGGAAAAATGGAATTATCACTCCAATATACAAAGGACGTAAGCGATCCGATCCTACCAACTTCCGACCTATTACTCCGCTTCCTGTTTTATCAAAAGTGATAGAATCGGTAATCGCAGATGAACTGACGCGATACTTTGAAAGTCAACAAATAATTTCTGATGCCCAACATGGTTTCACACGCAGACAATCTTGTCTCACCAATTTGCTGCTTACTCGGGACTCATGGACCAGGGCGGCAGATGAAGGAGTCCCCGTAAGTGTGATTTACTTGGATTTCTCTAAAGCATTCAACAGGGTCAATCACTTCTTTCTCCTCCAAAAGCTTGCTGCCTACGGTGTCAACGGTTCCCTGCTCACCTGGTTGGAAGACTACTTACACGACAGAGCAATCAACGTAAGAGTAGCTGACACTCACTCTGAAAGCCTGTGCGTCTCCAGTGGTGTACCACAAGGATCCGTCCTCGGCCCGCTACTGTTTTTAGTCTACATTAATGACCTTCCAGCAGACATTCTATCTCCGATGCAAATATTTGCAGACGATGCCAAAATATGGAGAGCAATTCGCTCAGTATCCGACCGTGTCTACCTCCAGGAAGATCTGACTCGGATTAACGAATGGGCAGGAAGGAAACAGCTCCCACTGAACCCTGCAAAGTGCCACCTGCTGACGGTGCGCAGCAGCTTCGTCAACACATCTTTTGGAGCAACACGTCCTGCAACATGTGACTAGTGAACGCGACTTAGGTATAATCGTGCAAGAGAGTCTTGGCAATTCGCTCCAATGTTCGAAAGCAGCAAGTGTGGCGAACTTAAGTTTGGGCTTTTGAGGCGAGCTATCGGCACCTTTGAGCGACGGATAGTATTATTGCTGATTAACCCCTACATTCGTCCTCACGTTAAATATGCAATTCAGACCTGGTGTCCATGGTTAAAACGAGATATTCGCCTATTGGAACAACCCGAAAGAACAGCCACAAATGGCAACGCGTGGACTACCGGGTCTAAGTTACGAACTGCGACTTCGTGTACTCGGTGTGTTCTCATCAGAATACCGACGGCTTCGCGGAGATCTTACTCTCACATACCGGATACTAACTGAAAGCGAGCATCCATGTACATCACGGTTGACCCTAGCCCCTTACAAACAAAGCCGAGGCCACCGCCTGAAACTAATGACGCAACACTCCCGTCTGAATTGTAGAAAGTATTTTATTCACTTGAAATCTGTTCTCACTGGAATGCATTACCAAGATATGTGGTGAACACGATAGACATAACGACATTCGAAAGACACTTAAAATTTCGTCATAGTTATAAATGCTACAGAAGAGTTTGATTAAGTGCAATGGTTTAACCACTGAGACTTCACGTTCCACGTTGGAAGGTTTTGATTTTGATTTTCTTTTGCATATTCATCCTGTGGGTCTTGTAAAGTTATGCTTTTTTCCCATCATGCACTATTGATGTATTCCAGAGGTTTGTGAACAATCGGTTAGTTTATTTGATTGGCAACGTTTCTTTTTTAACACAAAAGTTTCGTCAGGCCAGGTGAATTTGTACATAGTGGGCGCAAAGCAGAAGAAACAAGAAAAGAAAAAGAATTTCTGGAAGCTTCGTTCTCAACGAAACATTCAAACAACATGCGCGTGGACATATATTCAATATACGAACCACTACGACAGAAAGAAATAAAGAACATTTGTCACGCGGTTTAAGGCAGAACAACTTGGGCGCTGAGTTTAGCCTTGGGGAAAGTGGGTAGAGGTCAAGGGACGTGAATCGACACTGCCACTTTCAAAACTCACCTGCAGATCGATCATGGATGGAGTATTCATTCATTAAGATTTCACGCCGCATATCACTGCACTGTGGATGCCACTTCGCATGGTGGTGAAACGTTTGCGACAAAACAGCCAAGCTCGGAGAACAAATGAACAATTGAACATAGTACATGCTCACGAATTTCATTTTTCTAGTGAATGAGATTTAGGATACCAAGGACAAGCGTTTGCCTAATACCAATCTGGTGATGAAGATTGTCAATGTAATGTGCATGCAAGCTAATGTTACACTTAAAAGTACTTTCAAATACGATTATCAACTAAACTTTTTATTTATAAAATGCATCCGTGAAGTAGGCCATACTTAGGCACGGTTTTTTAAGGTAAATGCCCCTTGCACAATAAAATATTTAGTAGGTTTTGCTCCTGATAATTTTTTGCATCCTTAGTAGATGAAGCTCTATTTTAAAATGTTATTCCGTTAACATTTTAAGTAGAGTCCTAAGTCAACCGTAGTACTTATGACTGCTTCGTTGCAACTCAATTTGTGCCGAGGTTTGCAGAGATACGAATTTAAGTGAAAGGGAATACCGGTATGCAGTAAATCCTCCGTTTAATACCACGAACGCCTAATGTCTTTTGTTTTGCGGTGTTGACTGTATCTCTAGTATATTTTTCATATTTGGCACACACAGCAATCTTTTGCTTACCTGAGGCCGAGACAAATATTTGCAATAACTATGTGATGATTCCTATGTTAGTTGGCGATACTGGTGGCCTCATTTGGTTGCGTTTGCAGCTGAAGAATTTAAGTTAGCTTTAGTTGTTATTTGTAAACTTTGACGTTTCATGCGAGAAAAGTCTCTGAGGATCTCTTTGGAATGCTGGTTGTTTAATGCATGTACGGGGAGATATGATATTAATTTGAGTTGTCCACAATGGTGAAGCACTAACAGTACAGCATACTTGAGATACTTGCATCACTGTGTACATAATGATATTCCAATTTGCTTACCGTGATGCAACCAAAACTAGTACTACAGGCTCAGCGCAACAAAAGGCTTAAGCTTTCCAGACATGGCGCAGGAAAATGCGTAATTGATCAAAAGATGTAGCTTCTTCCGAAGATAGGTACCGGAAATTGCTGGAATATGGGATTCAGCTATTTCTGTTTGCATTTATCAAACTAAAACGGTATCATTCTTCCCATTTTGCCGGATATTGGAGTGGACACCTTGCGGTAGAATAATTTTAATTAATTCATAAGTTAAAAGTTAAGCTTTTGTCAAGACTGATCAACTCATCCCGATCATGCTTTATCATTGACAGCTGTTGTTGGAAAGCGGTGCAACGGTTGTGATTTCCGTTGCCATCCTTTTTCTCTTCTCCATAGCTGCTATGGTTGATATGCACTATGGATTTTTGTATCTAATGGGGGCTCCATTCTACTGGAACTCGGAGTCCGTTGGCCTGTTCGGGTAAGTCACAATGCAACCGATTTCCCACATCGCGTTCTGGATTGGATTTATGCAGGATATAAGTTTTGTGCAATAATCAGCATCAAGTTATTGTTCCGACTAGTTCTTAAGCATTACATTACGCTTATTTTTATAGCTAATATTAAATCTGGGGTGTAAGGATCTGTTTATGCACTCTAATAATATGAACAAATGCTCTTTCATTATGATAAACTTGATAGAGAATTGTCGAAACATTTTGCCTGTTCTGCTTTTACTTTGTGTACAGATGGTCTGAATTGGCTAAATATATTTCCCAGTCCTTTCCTACTTATTGGATGCGCTGGTTCTAGTTAAATATCCTTAACGATTTAAATTAGAACTTACTTACGTATCTCATCTCCCAGTTGAGATATTGGGTTTGCAACCGTTCCACATGTCCACTGTTAAACATCCAACCAATAGTCTAAACTTTCAGAGTTAATTATAGATACATGCGCTTTGCGCTCTAGCGCAAGTAAACCACAAAATTCACAGTCTTTGCATGGAGATAATGTTTTAAGCAGCTGAAAAGCACGGCTTTTTGAACTGCTCACTTAACGATATGCATAGTTAGGGAAGAGAAGGAGTCGTAGGAAATTGGCACAAATCGGTTTAAAAATGTCTATTTAATGCCCGAACAAACTGTGCGGATTTTGACTGTAAATAAATTGCGCGGACATTTTAGTGCCTATAAGCCAAGAATAAATATATCATACACAATCATATGTTAGAAATTAGCGCCGAATTAAAATGCAGCTATCATGCCTCATCAACTAAGTAGGAGAATAATTTGTGGGCAAATTGCCATTCTCTTATCGGGTTTTGAGCTAAGGGGCCTAAACCTATCGCCTACGACGAAACCACAATTTGTGCCTATATGTTTGTCGATAAGAAATGGTGAAACTATGTTTTATTCTTGACTCTTGCCAAATGTTCCCATTGGTTTCTTGGTTTGTAGAGAGCAGAAAGGAAATCCTCTGTCAGCCCCATCACTTCCCGTTCACTGCAGGGTACATGTGAGCTGATACGGTACAGTGTTCCACAAGGGAACATTGCGGTCACCGTCACCACAACAATATTCATGCTTATCCAGAAAATATATGGCTAATAATTGTTTGAAACTTTTCGCTGTTTGTGCACTTACGACTAGCTCAGGTAAACTGTTCCAGTCATTCACTACACGCGTTGACAAAGGGACATCTGGGCGAACCCGAAACCACCTTGTTTTAAACAGCTTCATACCGTAGCCTACTGCAAAGACGAAACAACGCTTGTATCTCATCCCCCATCTCACCTCGGGAACACGTCGCGTGTACATCAAGTCACGTTTATTTAAGCTGTCAGCTGATATATTTTCGCAAGGCGTTCGCGTCCAATTGTTTGCTTGATAAGTTTGAGAGATGAATCAAGCTCACTATTTCCAAAAATTGCCGTAACCTCTGTGGGACCTCGGTCTGAACATCTCTGTTCCCCGCGACACTGACATTGACTGTGTGCATAGTATACAGCTGACATCATCTAAGGTACTGTCAGCGAATGAAAGAAACCCACCTCCACCACTCACTAACTTAGTACTTAAAATTAGTCATAATAAACCAAACGCAACAAGCAAGGCTGCACAACTGACTTTTATAAGCAGCGTTCAAGCACTTCTTTGCCGCGCTTCATATACAGTAAAATCTCGTCTATGACTATCAACAGTGAAATAAATTGCCCAGAACAGTGAAACTGTTTTAATGCCGCTTAACGTTTTCCATAGTTATGTGTGCTTTTTGGAATGTTTTGGAGAAAATCCCAAACAATTTAAGCAGCTGAAGCACAGAACATTATTTGATAAGTGCAATACAACAACTGACATACTCGAAAATGTCAGAAAAGCTCCTTTGCTTTAAGAGCATCAGTACGTCTTGGAAGAACTGGTTTGGCCTAGCAAAATTTAAAAAAATTAATTCGTATATTCACAAAATCTTGTTAAGTTTGTAATCTTCTTTACCGGTAGCTGAATAACGTGAGTGTCCAACGGATCTCTACATAGTCACAGTTAATGCTCAATGCTTTTAGATGTTATGAAATACAGTTTCAAGCAATGGTTAAGTCTGTTTTCGTCTTATTATTTGTTTCGTTTTCGCCACATTTGTATAACTCACGAATTAGGGAAATGGCTTTCTAAATTATATGGCCCACATACTTTCCCCAGACTAAGCACTCGTACTGAGTGGATTGAATGAACGTGCACATAGTCGCCTTTTTAATATCCAACATATGGTAGAGAGAAGGTACACTGGATACGAGGTAGACATTTTCATTATGTTTTATGTCTCCTCGTACCATCCAATTTCATCGGGTTCAAACACACTGTTGTCCTCATCCTAAGGTATATGGCCCAAGTATTGGAGGAATCTTCAAAACTCAACCGGCTCAGATGATATGTTCGTGTTCCCGGTCTGTCTCCAATCGTTTTGATGTAAAATTTGCTTTTAGCCGCGACAGACTGCGTCCGTTTTAAATACCTCCTCTCCTTTGGTCGTGAATGATCAGATTATCCCTAGTATATTCACCGCAACTTGTTTCGTTGTTTCCTTTTCTCCTACTTTATCCGTCAACATTCATTCTTATAGTTTTTCAACGTTAAAAGACAATGCTTTTAGATAGCTAGTTCACAATTCTTTCCGTATCCGGGGCGCTAATTTCGATGTTTGTATATTCATGCACTCTCCCGTATTAGTTTTCCCATTTTTCTGTGTTTCTTGCCGGAATCCATTAAAAGAATTAAATTCTTAAGCAAAGGATCTCTCCTTGATTTCCTTGTTATCAAGCATTTTGACCCCCCTTCAACTTTTCACGCAGGATTCTAAACGACCACTATCGCTCCGTGCACACTGTTCCAGCCAGTAAAGTATATATGTTTCTTCCACGATGCCGAAATTTAAAATATTACTTTACCCACGTCGTCCCATCGTAAATCCATATTGCCATATTTGTCATACTTCTTAGTCATCAAAAAATATAACGCATCAGTTATAAGATCCTTCCATTAAGTGAAATTACGCGCTATTTGTTTTTCACTTCACTGTAATAAGTATACCGATACTGTGTTGTAGAATTTCCGCAGGGTTAGTTTGCAGACGCTCCCACACGTATGTTAAAGACTTATCTTGAATTAAGTTGACTGACAATTTAGCATAACGTTATCAACTGACTGGCCACAATTCTCCAAAAGCATAACTCACTTCGCCCGCTTTGCAATGCAGTAGACGTATATAGGTGGTTTCTGCACAGGAATCCGCCTAAATTGCATCATTTATGAGTTTTACTCGAACCGTTTATGTCTACAATTCGCTGCACTTGTTTATCTACATCTCTGGAAAACGGACTGGTTAGGAAAATTTGGTTCTTGGAGTTTTTCAGCAATACGAATAAATACTGAGCGCTTTGTTAACAAGTACTTCACAAGTCCTACTTCCGTTGAATGACTCGGTACATCTGTTTAACTGTAGTGCAATATAGTACAAGTGTACATCTTTCGTAGTATAATTGGGTTACTGGATTAAGAAGCGGATTATCCTTCTGTCACAACTCGCTCTTTTCTGCTTGCCTTGCAGCGGTTTATCCGACGCCCTCTCTGCGGTGATTTCCATGGCATTGGTTTTCGTAACTGTTACTTGTAATTGGAAGCGCTATACGGAACATCCTTCGCCGTCTCCTTCCATTTCAAAAGATGTTGCTAACAAATTAGAAGTCGATACGGAAAGAATGCCCAAGTGGACACGTCATCAGAGTTGCCTGCTACTGTATCTTGCAATGGGACTTAGTATCATCAGTCTCAGCAAGATAGCCATGGCAATCGCGCATCTGTTCTCCCATCCATTAGCCGACGCAATTGTTTATACAGGTAAGGAGTTTGCACTTCGCACGGAAAGAAAAACGCATGTGTAACTCAAGTCTAGAAATATTGATTTGTACTATCGGACTACGGTTAGAATGCAGTTTGTTGGAATTTCTCAGTTGCTATTTGTTTGATGGTTGGCGAACGAATATCTCCGTCACACATATTGGTTCACACACTGATGTGTTTACAAAGATTGATAGTTTCGACATTTTCCTATATTTTTGACAGTAGTAGGTAGTTGCAATTAAGTAACGTAAAAATGCCCATGCGCAGAGGCACAAGGAAAATTTGACAATGGTAGTGCTTACCACAAAGTTAGCATAACAGTAGAAAAACACCGAACTTAAGACCCTAAGTTAACGGCAGTCCCATTCATTTATTTACTCACAGACTTCATTAATGTTTAACTTATGATTAATTTGCACTTCTGTCGAACAACAAGCAGCAGATTGTTTAACATAACGAATAATAGTCTAATTCTTACATCCATCTTCAGTGGATAGTAAAGTGTATTTTATTAGGCATTCAAATGTGAGCTAACCTTAAATATGCACTCTACGGTAAAAGTATAGAGCCCTACTGCTATTTCAGGTTGTCACCATTTTCACCAGTTTGTTGCAATTTCGAATGAAAACACCTAACCCTATTGCACAACTTCCTGCCCAACGGAAGGAAAAATTAGGTCAAACAACCACAAGAAAGAGCTTATTAACTGCCACTAAAAACACTGTGCAATGAAATAAGAATTTTGCCATATTTATAGGTCACTTAATGAGCGACTTCTAGGACAGGAAAGTCAGCAGATAAAATTAGCTTTGCCATACCGATCCAGCCAGTTTTTAGGAGATTTTGCAGTTATCCGGAGCCTTAGAAAAAAATAGAATGTTCGAAATCGATACCAGATTCAGTAGCATTCAACTGATTGATGAAATTAGATTTCTTTCTTGAAAGTTATTACTTTTTATCGAACGGATCTTATCATCCGTTTGAATATCTGTAAAAATATTGCAACAACTTGTATTTCAACAGAATTTGACTAACGGTATAGAATGTACTTGCGGTATACGACAAACGCTGGATTTATGAATATGTAAATTTGTAAAAGTTGGCAGAGTTTCTGGTAAATAAAGTGGGGGATAGATGAATACCATCCTAATATTGCTAGGGATTCGGACGTGATTTTGTTAAACTTAGCAATTCCAGGATAATGGACTTCAATCTTTATGGTTCAAAATTGCCCTCTTCCCTTGCTACCTGCAATACGGTGAGTTGATATACTCTTGGTAACGTCAGTTTCACATTGTAAACTTTATTTTCTGTTTCTTTTTCGTCTCAATTTACTGAATTGGGTGCTCATTAAATAAGCCACCGAAAGCACTTAATTCAATGTCGAAGTTAACACAGCTTATGTTTGCGAACGGAGCAACGAATGGGCCACACGTGAGAACATCTGCATGTACCACAAAACTGAGCGACTGACGAGCCACGTTTTACAAGTTTCTGTGGGGTGTCCATATAGATTGTGAACTAGGAAATCGTTCTATCAAGTAGAAGCTGGCTGTTCTGAAGTCTTTACATTCAGTCCCCAACTGTAAATATCAGAGTATGCATACTTACCTAACAAAACAAACTAGCGGTTACAGTCTTTGCTTTGGGATTTTGTTCGTCGTTTAGTTTGTATATCTCAAGTGTTTCAGTACATGTAATGGAAAAATACTAACCACCGAATTGATTTCTTCCAGCGCTGGCCCTACGTTTAACCAAGAGTCTACCTATACCGGTGATAAGAGCACTAATCGCAACTTGCTCAAACAGCAACCAACAGGGTGAGTGCGTTGTCGAAAACGCCATTGTGATGACTTGTGTAAATCCTATAACGACAGTTTTGATCATATATAACCTTCTGTCTTTTCCGGCAGCCATAAAAGCTTATCCGAAAGGGTCATCTGCGTTGCCGATATACCTTATCCATGTAGTGATGAAAACTGGGCACAATCTCTGTGCATCAAACGACTGGTTAATATTTCGAATCATGCAAAAGCAAGAACTAATTCCCTAGCAAATATACTACACAGTGACAGAATGCGTACCGCATTATTTTCGTTCAGCGACAAACAATTAGTTAGGCAATTACTTGAGTAACATCGTTCCGCATCGTATTTGTTAAGAGCAAGTAGTTCTACTAGACTTTGGACGACATTCATTTATAAGGGTCAGTCGCAAATATTTTGCCATGAAGCCGAAAATGCTTCCTCGCCGTTTGTAGCTTTTGTATCAACCGGGTAGCGTTAGAGAATTATTAACCAGTAAAAATTAAGATCTTAAGGTAGAATGCGATGGCAACTTCCTCGCTTAGTCTCCTGAGCATTCAGGTTGTGGGTTAGAGTAAGGGTGGCGGCCTGATCCTTAAAACGGATTTTTTGTAATCCACCACCAAACCCTCTGCATTGCGGCCAGGTTTTGAACCATAATGGTTCTCCTGTCAAGGCCTTGGCAACCTGACAGTGTCCTACCCACGCAATCCAACACCAAGACTTTTCCATCTAACAACCTCAGTGCTCTGGCCTTCGCAACAATAATCAACGGTGCCCCATCTACTGCATCGAGCAGGGTGGATAAGGATTTGGCTGCTAATGCTCAACCCTTCCCGTCTTCTTATTCCCTCTATTATGCTTTTTCATCCCAGTTGTCCCGTTCCAGCTTCACTTTTATCCCTTTCTGAGCCCATAGTTCTTGGCCCTCCCCCAACATGAAAGGCGTTTATCTTCCACGTTAAACTTACATGCAAACGCAGAGCATCACGCTTGCCCTATCGGTAAGCCTACGTATAAACAAGCAAGCAAACTCAATTTGTCGGCTTCTAGTTGGAGCCCCGATCCTCCCTTAGCTTGGCATGCCTCAACATACTCACATTGTTACACATCGGTCCACATGCATCACTTGTCCGAACACTAGAGACCCTCTGGATCGATATCGGATGCCTGTCGGAAACCCGCGTACAAGACCGACCTATGTTCTCTCACTGCGATGCCCTTCAGGTGAAACTAGCAGTACTTTCTCATTGCGCCTATCCGGAGACGATGCAGCTTCGAATACCGGCCAAACCGTTGTTGGTATTGCCATGAGTCCCCGGGCTGAAGCTGCTCTGATCGATTGGATCCCAATCAGCAGTCGGATGTCTGCGGTCCGATTGGTTGGCCCGTGTAAAGCTTCGAAGTTGCGCGGTGCTAATCGGTGTCGGTTTGTTATTGCTGCCTAAGCTTCACAAACTGCGACGATGACTCAGTAAAAGACGACTTCTATCGTCAACTGAACGAGCTCCTTCGCCACAGAAGAAGCACAGACACTGTAGTGCTTACTAAGGATCTGAACGCTCAAGTTGGGAAATTGTCAACTGATGAGCTGCATATTGGCGACCAACATGTACTAGGCTCCCGTAATAATAACGGTGAGCGGTTACTCCATTTGTATGAGGACGCTCGCTTAACCCCGCACAGCATCTGTCGGAAGGTGACATGGCGCCCACCAGCCTCGAACTAGCCATGAACGTAAACCAATCAAATTGCGTTCAATTATCGCTGGAGGGGCTGCGTCCAAAATTCTCGCTCAGTTTGGAGCACATGTGTGGACACTGACCATGCACTTGTATGTGCTGATCTGCAGGTGCGTTGTTGTCATTGCTCTCGACGACCCTGGGAGCGCACAGACACCAGCATCCGGCGCAGCCACGTGTTTTGAATGAGTATCGAAGTATGCTGGCTTTCGGGCTGAGCAAGCGCTCAATGAATATGATAGAAAGTCACTGTTCACCAGACCCTACGCAGCGGGACTGGACCTTAAAGTGGTGCAACGGTTTGAGTACCTCATTGACCCATTGAGCTATACTGGTTGGTGCCTCCGGGTCCCTTGAGAGCTACTCCTATCAGGTTGGGCAATGATGAGAGGTCAATAAAACCGTCTCCTGGTCCTTCAGGTTGTAGGTTCGGAATGGGATAACGTCCATTTCTGTAGAAGTAAATCATTGCCAACTCCCCGCTGCCTTGCAGACACGCTTTTGAGCCGAAGGCTTTTGATGAGGACCCTAAGCATCCTCCTGTCTATGTCCGTGCGGCCGGGCAGTATCTCAGCCCAAAAGAACTACGACTTTTTCTTCAAACATAAACTTCATGCTGCATCGACCGTCGCGTGGATTATCAAGGGTCACCTTATCTGCTACACACAGCATGGCGGATAAACTAAAACATGCTACTGCTGGCGTCTCAATTCTTTCTTTTCCACCTGTTTCTCTTACTCCCATCCCGATCCCCATTACTGACCTTCCTCCTATAATTCCCAGCTTAATTGACAGTAACCGGAGTACCGTCGGAACAGAAGCACTGCAGCCACCTCCTTGTGACACGCACCGGACGCCTATCGGCAACAGCCCCATATAAGGCCACGCTGTCCCGTTTCCATGGCGGCTTTCAACGTTCGCGCTCTAAGACAACTAGGTCAACAGGCTCCACTCGCACGCACCTTGCACACACTGGGTATTGATGTGTGTTGTGTGCCCGAAACGAGGATCATTGACCTTAATTGGATTGCTGAATTAATTGCAGCCGGCTTATCCTATCGTTACTGGTTGCACGCATCCGGAGCCGCTGATGCAACACTCACGGGTCAAGCTGGTGTAGGCATCATACTCGGCTTCAACGCTGAACCATTATTGGTTGGTTGGATTCCAGTGAACAGCCATTTACATGCAGCCTGTCAGACGACATGAGCTAACGTTGATACACGCTGTTTGTTTGTGATCTCCGCTTTTACCCCCTACCGATTGCGGTTCTGTTGCTGTCAAAGATACATTCTATCACGAACTGAGTGCGCTATAACGCAGTGTTACTAGTTCAGATATCATAGTACTTGCAGGGGATATGAACGCAGAGGTAGGGCATCTGAACTCTTCAGAAGCTCGGCTGGGTGGTAATTATGGGATAAACTCCGAACGGACTGACAACGGCGAGCGTCTGCCGCAACTGCGTGCGGAGCACTAATGGTTTCTTAGTAGCACTGCTTTCAGACACAGTGGGTGCCGAAGTGCCACTTGGCTGGCCGGCGATGGATCCAAACTGATCACTTTGCCATCAGTTACAGGTGGTGTGGTTCCATCCTGGATTGCCGCTTGTTCTGGAATACCTGCATCGACTCTGATCATGCCTTGGTACGTTGTCGTTTCTCCAGGAGCTTTAACAGGAGGCGCACCACGCGCCTCCTCAGACTGACAACTGCGAAATTGTATCAGCCTTCGGTCAGGCAAGCCTAGCAGGATGCTCTGCATACTAAACTTTCGCTCCGGAGTATTAATGACACTGAGCTTCAGTGGAATAGGATCTCGGCCGTCATGCACGACGCAGGAGCATCTGCTTGTGGCACTATCACCATTCACCGGATATCCGAAAGGTAGGTGAATCTGTAGGAATCCAGACGAAGTCCCCTGGTTGGTTCTGAGCACAATGTAACCAGACGGACTATTAAGCGGGAACTAAATTGGAGCTTACATGCTGACAAGGAAGCCTGGTGAACTAGTAGGGCTGAAGAAACGGATGAGGCAGAACCAGTAGACAGTTACCGCAAGTTCCTCCAGTTGATACGTACTACTGGTCTCAGGAAACCAGACGTCAGTAAGACAGAGAGCATGTGTGCACTGAAACTCAATACGGAGCGCCATGTGGCTCGTTGGGCAAAGAACTTTCAAGATCAATTCAGCTGGCCCCTGCCTCCGGTTCTCTTCCTACTCAAGTGATTCAGGACGAGCCGTGGACGGTTAGTTTAGAGCCTCCGTCGGAGGCCGAGGTCCGAAACATGATCACAGCCCTTAATAGTTTTCGTGCCGCTGGCCCTGTTTCCCTCCAACCTGCACTATTTAAGGATGGAGGTGAGGTCCTTCGCAAAGCACTGACCTCCCTATTCGAACGTATCTGGAAGTAAGTGTCCCGGCTAACTGGAGCGAATCGATTATAGTGGCAATATACAAGAAGGGCAGTCGCACAGACTGTGCTGACCACAGGCGTATTAGACTGGCCTCAATTCCCGTTCGTCGCTGCACTGCGGAACGGGAATCTCCGATTAAGGAAGAGCAGTCAGATTTCCGTTCTGGACGTGGCTGTATCGACCATATATTCCCTCTACGGCAGGTACTATAGCAGCACCACACGCACCGCAGGCCGTCAATAGCTGTGTTCCTTGATTTCAAGAGTGCCTTCAATTCGGTCGTTCGATGTATTCTGTTTGAAATACTTGCTCGGAAAGGTGCTCCCACGGAATATGTGATCATCCTTCTTGCTCTATACTCGAACACTACAGGCCGCATCAGGTTCTACGGTGACCTGTCGGATAGCTTTCCGATCACAAGTGGCATACTTCAGGGTTGCCTGATTTCCCCAATTTTGGTCAATTTCCTCGTGGATTCTATCATGTAGTGTTCCTTTGCGGAATCTCACGAAGTATGACCTTGAGGTTCTATCTGTTAGTTGATCATGATTATGCGGACGATATCGTCTTGCTTTTCGACGATGTTGCGGTGGCACAATCAACCCTGAATGGTTTGCCTAGAGCGGTCCCATAATTTGGTATGCAATTCGCATCTTCAAAGTGCAATGTGTTGCTGCAGGACCACCAGCCACTTTATGACCCCTTCTCCCTTGCTATCGAGGAGCTCGAGGCAGCTGCATCAGCAACGATTGGGGAATAGGAACTGAACTCAGTTCACACATTGTAAGCGATCGAACTGCCTTATTGAACCTGCGGCATCTTTGGTGACAGAATGGAGTTTTCCTCCGTCTGAAAG